GGGCAGCCAGCTGTGCCTCCAGGACCCAACCGTATCTCAGCTGCTCCACCTCAGCTCCATGTGAGACCTCGGAGAAGCATTTGATACCCAAACAATAGAATTTTCCTGGTGCCCAAAAGGTTTGTGTTCATCTTGTGTGCAAAATACATTTAATCCAATTCTAAAAGGCACCAGCTTTTTAACATTTTCAGATTCCACAAAAGTCCTAATCTAAAATCTCTTCTGAGACTCAAACCTGAGCAATGAGCCTCTATAAAAATCAAAAAGAAAGTGAAGTGTTTCCCACATAGACTGGGACAGGAAAGGCAAATTGAAAGAATACTGAGAGTTCAAAGTTTTAGTGAACAATGTAATCATTATGTTTACCTAAAATATAGCAATAAAATTAATTTTAAAAATAAAAAATAAAAAAATGAAAGAATAGGGTATAGAAAAAAATGGGCTAAGTCAGACCCAAGTCCAGCAAGACAAACGCCAAATCTCCGTAGCTGCCTCTGCCATCTGGGGCATGTGGTGGTGAGGTGCGGGCTCCAGAAGGCTTGGGCAGCCCCGCCATGATGATCTTGTCTCCAGCTCACATAAGCTGTCTGGGGAGCTGGTTCCACTCCCTGCCCGAGATATTCCTAAGGGCAAGGTCCACATCCTGGTACCACCCACTTTCTGTGTCTGCACGACACACTCAGCTTCACTCTCACAGCTTCACACATGGTCCTCTCAGGGAGCGTTCCCTGACCTCCCAAGCATCTCTTCAAATTATGGGTAGAAGTCACCACAACTCTTTGCAGGCCTGTAAAACCAGCAAAAAGTAGATGATGCCAAAGGGTGTCATCAACTCAAGCACCAACCAGGCTCCCTTGGGCCATGGCTACAGATGCACCTAGTCCTTGCAGAGCCCAGCATAGTGAAGCACGTCCTCAGGACCCTAGGTGGCCCTTCTTGAGCAGGGGACCAGGGGCTCTCTTCTCAAATGAAATGTGCACTTTTGCAACTATGAGGCTGTGGCAGTCAGGGTCTTGCTGGTTCCTGAAATGCCTTCAGGCAATCTTTCTTATTACCTTAAAGGAAAGTGCTTGAATACTTTTTAATGGTAATCTCTTTAGCAGCTACAATTTCCTTTTCTCCAGCTTCATAGGTGTTTTCTTTTGAGGTCAGGTTTCATAGTCCTGAGCTCTACATTTGCTTTAGATTTTCACTATAAATCTGGTTATCAGCAGGAACTAGTTACTATGCTACAGCTTAAACACTGTACTAACTTTAATTTTTTTTCCATCAATTTAATTAGTTTGCAACCATGAAATGAAGCAACATGCAGATTGGTAGGACACAGAAAAGTATAGGCATTCTCTTTACCTGGATGAAACATGCTGTCTCAGTTACTTTTGTCTCATTGCTGGGACAAAATACCCAACACCCCAAATTGAGGAAGGAAAAGTTAATTTAGCTCACAGTTAGTGGAGACTTCAGTCCATACTGGCTCTAAGGTAGAGTGGCACATGGCAGAGGGAAGCCGTTTATGGCAGTGGAAAACAGGAAAGAGCAAAGGAAGGGAGGCTTGCTGTGGCACCTAGCAAGCCTCTCTCCCCTCCTGATAGTGTGTGAAGATTACCCACCCCAGGGCTTGTGCAGCACTCACACCCATAATTCCCACAGTGGAGCATGGATTAATCACAAACTCTATAAGCCCACCGCAATGACTGCATGAGGCTTTGAGAGAGGACACATACACACAAACCGTAACACAAGCATAGCCTCTAGTCTAGTGTATGGTACAGTCTTTTTTCCCAACTATAGCCTCCTGAGTCTAGCCTTTACTCTTCCCATTCCATCAGCATTTTGGCCTTGTAAAATCTAACCAGAATTACCCATCAAATCAAACTTAGTTTCTCCAGCCTGCCTGTCTGAACTTTTCTGCACTGCTCCTTCAAACAAGTTCCACAGGCTTTTGTATCTCATGGGTAGGTATAATTACAGTGGTGATCCTGTTCTCTGGTATCAATCCCAGTTCTCTGTTACTAATTTTTTTATGCCAACAGATATGGGACGGAAGATTTATTTGGCTCATAATTTCCAATGGGATCAATCCAAAGTCAGCTAGATCTAAGGCAAAATTGACCTGTGGAAAGGTTGGTAAAGAAGAGTTGCTTTAAAAAGCAGTGAGCAAAGAGAAGATCTGGCAAAAAGAATAAACCCTTCCAGGTCATGAGCCACCTCTGAGAAGGTGCCTTCTCCTAAGAGAACATTGGGTTACACCCCTGTCACCCAATCACCTTTCGAAAGTCCCATCTGTGATGATACGAGACTTTGGATGGGGCACCTTAGGTCTAAACAAGACCCCCCGCGGTAACAAGAGTGGTAGACATGAACAGTTCTAAATGTCACTTTGTAGGATTATCTAATAATCTGAATGTTACACGGATGAGGAAGAAAAGAAATAGAGATTACTGAATACACTTGTGATGAACAACTAGAAGGATGATGTTGTTATGCTTCAGAATAAAGAAGGCTGTAAGAACACCTGCTCTGAGAAGATGAGGAATTCTTGTGCGGACAGCCCACTTTGAGATATGTGTTAGACATCCAAGTGAAGAAATGAAAAGGGCAGTGGGATCCACAAATCCATAACTAATAGTTACGTGTTTTCAATATATGGGCAGGTACCTAATGAATTAATCACAAACTCTAAGGCAGGAGACTAGAAGAAATTGCAAAGGAGTATAGAAAATAATTCAATAGAACAAATTGATCCATGCACAAGTCAGAGTAAGATACAGATCATCAAATGTTAAGAAAGGATCCTGCTAGGCCCAATTGACATCCCCCTCCCCAAACAAATAGCTGAGAATGGGTGAACACTTAAATAGAAAATTCAAATGTATATGATATGTGTGATTTACATCAAGGGAAAACACTCATTAAGTAAGAGAGATTCATGTGCTGATAGGTGAGGTGCCAGGACACAGGGCTGAGCTGTCACTGCATGTGTGAGAGTGCCGCTGGTGACCTGAACAGCTAAGTCTGCATGGAGGGAGGGAAATCCTGCAAAGATCTCAATTTAACTTGGTCTATAACCAAAATTCCTCCATATTCTTGTGTGCCATTACTTTTTGTGCCTGCTGCTTTGTTGTTTCAGCAGTCGTTGCGAGCCCGCCCTACCTCTGCAGACTTAGGCCTATCTACTCTGATATCTTTTTGTCTTTTCTAATACAGTGATGAAAACCATCAGGAAAGGTAGCAGAAAGATGATTATTTCTAGTTGCATTATTTGCCTTCCTACAGCATCTGGATGCCACTTAATCTCTTTGCCTTCTTTCTGTGGGGCAGTATGTGCCTTGAAAGGCTATGACAACACTTGACAGTGTGTGTAGCCCATAGCAAGCGCTCAGTGAGTGGTATGCATCATTATTTCTATGCAACTGCAGTCTCTGCTGTGTCTTCTAGTTTCGTATCACTCAATGAAATATTCCTGGAAATCTCATAACTTTTCCATTCATTGGAAGAAAGACCTGTAACACCCATCTGTCTTTGATCCTGGGAGTCTCTAGTGTTGTAAATCACACAACAAAGCCTATTCTTTCTGGATAGGAGAGGTCCCTAAGTTCCTGAAGTAGCCTAACCTTGAGGATGACCACCCTGAAGAAGGATGACTTGAGCATATCCTTCCTGGTGCTTCATCTCAACAACTCCTTGGTTTTACCCACTTGGGCCCCGGCTCCTCTGGTTCCATTTCTTTCCCTGGAGTTGTGTATGTGTCCCAGTCAGGATTTCTCTGCATCAGTCTGAATTTCTTTAACCTAAAATTTTCTTTTAACACTCAAGATAGCAGCGATTTTTTTAACTTTAAAATATACCTAAGTTGAAACATGGAGTATAGTGTTGGGACAGAGGCCCAAATAGCTGGATGAAAAGCAGGAAAGACAGGGAGATAACAGTTAGGAATGTTGGCCTGGAAAGCAAAGAAAACTGGCCTCAATTCCTGGCCCTATTGTGATTTGGGGCAATATCCTGGTAAAGCCCCATAAGGAAATCATCAGACAAATGTGTCCCTTAGCAAAGCTGGCTTTATTAGTTACCTAGAACAAGTGAGACAGTATCTGTTGTAGTCTCAATAGTGTTTTAAAGAAGCAAAATTAGTGAAGAGTTTCTAAAGAGCTCTTGGACCAGAGATGAGTTATTTCAGGTGGGGTCTCATCTCTCAAAGCAGAAATTTGGTGTAAACATTGTTTAGAGTCTATGAAAAAATAGCCTGCAGTGCTAGTTACAGCAAATGAAAGACGTCGGGATGCCATGTCATTTTGACAAGGGAACTGTGGGCTGTGATAAGTAAATGACTTGTCCACTTGCTGTGCTGTCTGAGATCCTAGGAGCAAGGATTCCCCGGAGCAAAGCACTCAGGAGCTGATTGGGTTTGGCACTGTGGAACCTAAGTTTAGGAAAGTGATGTCTGCTCGGAGTATTTAGCATAGAAATTAGGTCGGCTTGATTTTAGACCAAATATGTTCTTCTGGCTTCATAGTCTTTAGATTTGAAGTGTTATAAGTAGTTCAATAAATTAACGTATGTAGAGTGCTTATGTATGTACAGAGTATAGTAAAGACATTTGACAGCTGGTAACGTTTCTTAGGTCCTTAGTGAGTTACGCATGTCTTGACGCCAGTGCTCGGGAACCCAGTTTCAGTTCTGGAAGATCACTTCTTACTCTGAGACCTGGAGTAGTTTGCAGACTTCATCTTTTCCCTTCCCATATCTGACAACAGAAATGCACAAAATGGGCCCAGGTGGCACTCACCTGCAATCTCGGTACTGAGGAGCTGAAGCAGGAGGATCCTGTGAGGGTCGCTTGGGCTACAACACAAACTCAAGCCTGGGATGGCCTGCCCTGTGTCAACGAAGCAAAAGCAACAAAAAACTACAGAAAACATTTTGGTATTGCTTTGCTTGTAACAATAACCACAGTGTGTGCTCTGTGACTCTGCAATGAATATGCATTGCTTTATTTTCAGAATGACATGAATTACATCGCATCCAGTGGACTTCTGTTCAAAGATGGCAAAAAGCGCATTGATTACATCCTGGTTTACAGGAAGACAAACATACAGTATGACAAGAGGAACACATTTGAGAAGAACCTCCGAGCAGAAGGCCTGATGTTGGAGAAGGAGGTGGGTGCTTCCCCGGCGTTGGCATGTGGCACAGCACTGTGGAGCTGACACGACCACTTGGGCTTCAGCTCGGAAGATGCCGCCCTGTGGTGGCGGACGTTATGCTGTCTCTTTCTCCAGTTGTAAGATGAACATGTGGTTCGGTTTAAGTAGAAATTCAGTCACTTCCTGCTGCATCTATTTATATTCAATTTAAATATTTTCTGAGGTCATTTCTACAATTTGAAAAAGTGAGTGATAATTATACCTTTGTAAAGTCAGTAAAAAAATACCTTGTGCAAAGAAAACTCTCATGTGGAGAGGAAAGCGCTGGCCGAGCTGCTGACATTTGCGGCTTGTTTCTCCAGCTGCACTGTCCCCGCAAGCCGCCTTCTTTTGTGCTTATGAAGACTGATTGAAAGGGTTTATTTTCTTTCTAGTGCCAGTAGCAAAGCTGCCGAGGAAAAAACAGAAAACATAAAAAGTATATTCTTGTAGTTCTATAATTCAAAGCTTGCCATGATTGTTCTGAGTTAAATTTTCTGTGGCTTTGAAATAGCATATTCATATTAGAGAAAGGAAAAGAAC